AAAATTACTATTTTTTTTTTTTGCTTAATATAAAAACTTGAGGCTTCACATTACTTAATACCAAACATCTTTTTTTATAGAATTCAATAAAAAATCTATGAATCCTCAGTTTGTCTCATCCTTTTAAAAAAGACTATAAAAATATAACAATTCTCATACAAAGGAAAACTCTGGTAAAAACTGCAATAAAAAAGGTTTAAAAATACATGAAATAAATTCATTTTTGAGATGTACTCAACATATTTACTAAACAATTAAACTAAAAATCTTGATCTGTGCACAAATTATTAAATCACTAAGGGAAAAAAAAAACTTTAATTCCTCATATTTAACCCTAAGGTGTTTTTTTTTACAGTCTTTTTCATTTTCCACCCTATTTCTTAGCAAACTAATTTAATTTCTATTTTGATATATATACCAGTATATATTTTCATTTAAGGAATCAAGTACTTTTTCCAAGTAAGGGAATAATTAGTATCAAGTTATTATTTCTTATAAAAAATAAGAAGAAGTGGTATGAGTGCCAATAAGACAACAGTCCATCCAATCATCCAGTCTGATTTATCCATAAGGAAATGTTGTATAAGTAAGCAAGTGTATCATCTGTATGCTCATCCATCTATAACTTCCAACCATAATTAGATTAAATGAACTTTTCCTAAACTGTCAAATAATCTTCAGTATCTGTTGACATTGTATAGTTTTTTGTTTTTTTTTACTTCTAAAGGTTCTCCAATATTGTAATGGATTTTAACATTTCTATCATCTTATTACTCATATTGAAGGATAGGATGGTTCAACTAATATGAACATATATTTAGTTAGAGCAGATACTGAACTTGCATCCATAAATCTTGCAATTTGGTTAATATTCAAGGATTGTATCAAATTAGCTAAATTCATTCATTTTACTATTTTATCTTTGAAGAAAGAGTTGATAGCATAAAAATGTCAGATCTCATTACGTAAATAAAAATTTTGTATTACATGTACATGTATAAGAAAATCTATCAATTTTGACCAAAAATTCAATCATATTAAGGCTTGGTTTAACAAGATTTGAAAATAAAAACAAATAAAATCATATAAAAACCACTAAAATAATATAAAACCAGATAAAACACAAATCTTGTTATAGCAAAGCCTTAGAAAGTTTAATTAAAAGCTACAGTTGTAATATATTAGTGTCTTAAAGCAAATTTTATTCTAAATTCTTTTTAATGTTATGAAAATTTTGTCATAATGAGATCGAACTATTAAAAACAAGATTAAAAACAGATTAAAAACACAGAAAATATTCAAAACAAACTATCCTTCACATGATGGACTTTATGAACGAAAAGATTTCTTCCCAAGTTAATCCAAATATTTAGAAGGTCCATTCCTGTCTTTTGGAAACCCCTATTTTTTTTTTTTATAAAAAAAAAAATACACACTGCCATTAGTTACAGAAAATAATCTTGAAAGTTTTGATAAACACCTTCAAATAGTAATATAAGCTATGGATGAGAGATGATGACGGACAAACAGACAGATAAATCTTCTTTAACTGACAATTTCAAGCTTAGGTACTTCGAGTGCAGAAGGTCATGGGAAATTGGTATTAGCTGCTCCTCTGCTAATCATGCAGCATTTAGGAACAAGAGCAAAGACTGGTTGGCGCCGTTGGCCCCAAGTCAGAATAATGTGTCAGGGTAAGGTAACATGTCTTCCTGCAGATTGTTACTGTGTGAACAGAGTAGCATATCAATTAAAAAATCTAGCTCAGGGTGTCAGTCTTGTACAAAGCCGGGTCTATATTCATATCACATTTTCATGTTGTCCTAAAATGCATTTAATTTGGCACTGGACATTAAGCAGCAATTTTTCCATCAAAATCAATAAAAAATTATTTTACAGGTTCCTGATTATAATCTTGGGTAAATAATTCTTAAGTTGAGCACAAGCCTAAAAAAAAAAAAAAAAATATGTCCTTAACAATATAAATAACAATGAACGAGAAACAACATAAAAATCATCACATAAAAATGAAGAAAAAAAAACAATCTGCAAAAACTGTAATTATTTTTACTTGAGTGGCATCAGATGCTGAATAATTCATTTATTATATATAAACAAAAACAAATAAAAAAAACTAACAGCCATTTATTTGTTTAAATGTACAGAAAGTGGAGTCAAACCCAAAAATACCAAACATTTTTATTTGCATTCACCAAATTTAAATTACAGGGAATATTTTTCATATTCTCTTTAGTGTTTAGCCATCAAATTTCTACTTTATTGATTTTTGCAAAATTCATTTCACAAAGCACTTGTAAGACTTACACATACAATACATTAATAATAAAGGTTTAAACTAATATAAGTCTTATGGGTACTTTGTGAAACCATAGAGAATACCTTTGGAGTCCCTCAGATAAAAATAATTTCACAGTTTCATTTTTCATCAATCACAATACAAAAATTGAATGCATGTAAAAATAATGAAAAAATATATCTATAATTTGGATAACTCAATACATCAATAAAAACAAAATTCATTCTTCTGCTTACAATACAACTGTCTACGGATTCTACTAAAAAAATAGCAACAGTTCATCCGATGGTTTGCAGGATTATTGTCTGAGGATTTTACCAAACAAGGCAGCAACAGTAACACTTCAACTGTAAAAAAAAAAAAAGGTTGAATTTAAATTGTTAATACTTAATATTAAAATAATCTTAAGTACTTGTGTATAATAAATAAATGGGGAATGTGTCCAATGGGACACAGATGATGCCCCCGCTTGCATATAAAGTTAAAAAGGGACATAACTCAAGAACTGTAAAAATGACGCTACCCAAATTTGTACTTAATCTGAGTTTTGTGGTAATAAGAATTTTGTATAGGCTTCATAACATTTAATTGAGGCAAACTTAAGTTAGAGAACGGAAACGAAAAATTCAGCAAGTTTTCCATTTGTAAAGGGGCATACCTCTAGCACGGTAAAAGTGATGCCACCAACATTCAAACTTGATCTGTGTTTTGTGGTAATAAGCATTGTGTATAAGTTTTATAACATTGTGTTGAGGCAAACTAAAGTTAGAGAACGGAAACAAAAAATTCAGCAATTTTTCCATTTGTAAAGGGCATAACTCTAGAACGGTAAAAGTGACGCCACCAAAATTCAATTTTGATCTGTGTTTTGTGGTAATAAGCTTTGTGTATAAGTTTTATAACATTTGGTTGAGGCAAACTAAAGTTAGAAAACAGAAACCAAAAATTCAGCAATTTTTCCATTTGTAAAGGGGCATAACTCTAGAATGGTAAAAGTGACGCCACCAAAATTCAAACTTGATCTGTGTTTTGCAGTAATGAGCATTGTGTATAAGTTTCATAACATTTGGTTGAGGCAAACTAAAGTTAGAGAATGGAAACCAATTTTGGGACGTACGGACGTACAAGGGTAAAACTTAATGGCCCTTCCGCTATGGTGAGGCATAAAAATTGTGGCAATTTTTCATTAAATAAAAAGATATCAGTGCATGTAAAAACTCTTTGTTTGCTACATATGTTTATCGATTGCACCAAAATATATGGTATTAAAATTGTGCAGCTATTGTAAAAATGAAAGTAAATTTTCTGGACTTTACAGCTGAACGATCTTTTGAAATATTGATCAAATTCAGAAGCTTCTAAAAAATTGATAGACTCGACCATCTTTATACTCATATAATGAAACATAATTTTGTTGTTGATAGGTTGTAGTTTATTGACTCTTAATCCAAAAATTTGTTTTCTCCATGATAAAAAGGAGGAATTTAATTTATAATGAAAAAGCAAGACTATTAATGAAAAGCTGTTATCACACATTTTTATGACAGCAGAGGTTTTAACCTTACAATAAAAAGTGAGTTAGCTCACCTAAATTTTTAAAGTAAAGGTACAACATTTTATATTTAAATATATGTAGGATATATGTATAGATATCTAGGGAACATCATACATATGACAGAGTTGTCAAGTCACAACTGGAGATTTGAAAATTTTCAGCTGGAGTTCAGGCCTCATAACTGGACATATTTATCTCCGTTTTCAGTGTTCATTCTGACGATAAAGCTACATATTTCCCTTTTTTTTAAGATAACAGTATTACTATTAATGTTTTCTCTCTGTTTTGTTACCATGTAAAATATTTGTCAACACTAAGCTATGCTATTTGTAATTTTTTTTTCCTTTCCTCATCTTTGTCATTATAAGTGTGTTTCCCAGTTCTATAGTCGATTATTTTCATTGATATTCCATTTTCTAGAAAAACACTCTCTCATTCAGAACTTATAGGGTTTTTTTTATGACCTTGACTGGCTAATAAGCCATCACATGGTCCAGAAAATGAAGTCAATACATATTTGTAAATTTCAATTTAAGCATTGAAAAGAATTATAGATCTCTCAAATAATTTTCAAAATAATATTTTCCTATTTGTTCTAAGACATTTAAAATCATTAGATTACCAGCCTTTTATGATTCTTTGTTCAATTTCTACTTCATTCATATTCTTTTATCAATTTACATTATTTTAAGGAGGGTAACTTAAAACATGATAAAACAAGGGATGTAACCCGAAATTTCTTTTACACAAAGCTTTTATTACATAATGGCAGTTAGCCTGAGGTAAAAATTGTTGACACCCAAGATGTCAAGTAAGATGTCAAGTGAAGCCATATAATCATACAAGATTTTTCATTTACAGCTAGGTATAAACATTACCTTCATCAGTGACACAAAAACGTAATTAAAGTTGACATCATGGTAATAAAAAATAGAGAATGACAAATTATTTGTGGTTGAAATTTTGAAAAAAACAAAGATTTGTATTATTAACGGGAGGAACGGAAGAGGGCTTAAAAATCGGGAGATTTTGACTCCCGGCGGAAGAAACACGTGTCTGGGACATTCGCAATAAGATAACAAATAGATTTAAGTTGTATAAATTCTCACCTTAAATCAGCTCTGATTAAAAACCGCAACAAGTAACCCTATGGAAATGTTGTGATGCTAACCTGGAATACAAAGTTGGTTAGTTATTCTCAACTTTTCAACAACAAAAGATCATCATAATCAATTTAAAATAGAACTTGGATAACAACTAAAAAATCATGTTAACAACAATTTGGCATTCTGAATGATAAACTCATAAAAGTTAAAAATTTGAAATGGAAAAAAATCAACCTGTATTAAATCATAGCGTATAATTCATGTTTTGGTACTTAAAACATTTATAAAATACTACAAAATAAAAAAAAATGTGTCCAAGGACATGAATGCCCCCATTCGAGCGTGAGAATACTTTTTGGAAGCATTTGATGTTACTGCTAGTGGGGAAAAGGCAAAACTTGCAATTTATCGTTATAAAGGGACAAAACTCTAGAACGGTAAGTGACTCACTGCCCAAAATTAAACTTTGCAAGGTTTGGTTCTTAACATTTTATATTATTTTCATAAAAATTGGATGAGAAAACCCTTGTTAGTGTGTGGAACCAAAAGTGGGACAGACGGAGGTTTTAGGGTAACACCTTATGACCCCTTCGCCTAGATGCAGTGGCATAAATAGTTTTAATACCTACCAACATGTTAACAGTATCAGATATCCAAGTCTTACTCCCAACACCTATGAAAACATTGTCGTTACAACATCCTAAAATTTAAAAAAAATTAAGAAAATATACTTGTTTTACAGATCAACCTATACCTAAGAAGACTAACGAAATCATGCTATTTGTTTGCACCTGTCTGAAGTCAGGAATCTGATGTTCAGTAGTTGTCATTTGTTGATGTGGTTCATAAGTGTTTCTTGTTTCTCGTTTTTTATGTAGATTAAACTGATGGTTTTCCCATTTGAATGGTTTTACACTAGTCATTTTGGGGGCCCTTTATAGCTTGCTGTTCGGTGTGAGCCAAGGCTCTGTGTTGAAGACTGTACTTTGACCTATAATGGTTTACTTTTACAAATTGTGACTTGGATGGAGAGTTGTCTCATTGGCACTGATACCACATCTTATATCTATGTTTTTTTTTTTTACAAAATTGTTGTATACTGTGGATTAATTATTATTTGTGGGATTTTCGTGGATTTCATGGGAATAGGTGACCAATAATTCAAATGTTCCACAAAGTACAAATTTTCTTTGGCAAAATCATAAAATCAAATATCCATTCCATGAAAATTTTTACCCACAAAACAAACGAGTCCACAGTATTATCATCTTCAATATGTAAACATGATACCAAAGGTTGAAAACAAATAAATACAAATATCGTATTACAAATGATTGGGGTCATATTTCAAAACAAAAATATGTAAGGTAATGATGTAGATATCCTTAAAGTTAAATTGATAGAAAAGAACCCTAAAGAATTTTTTTTAAATGCCTATTTATAATAAAATTATCAGTGGCCTATGATTATTACCTAATTTTTTGAATATTTAAACTTACAACATATTTCTCACAGTAAAGCCTCAGACTTGGTTAAGATTTAATTGACCATCTTCCTTGGAGCTGTTTTCCTGGCTGCCAAGGTTACTGTCCTCATCTTTTTGTCAATCTATTTTTTTGTCCATTTGTTATTCTTTAATAATAAAGTTATACATATAAAAATATCAGATGCACTTTTGTATAATCAGCTTTTTTGAAAAATTTTACCAAATGACCGAACCATAAGATCTCCCACCCTACATATCTATTATTTAGACTTCAGTTTACATATTTTTTTCTTTTACAGAGCTCTAAATAATAGTAAATTTTAGCAAGTATACATCTGATATTTAAAAAACACCAAACTTATACAAATATCAATATTAAAGTACATAATAAGTTAGATTCCCTATTACTGAGGGAATTTCGAAGAAAAAATGATGAGTTAAACAGGGGTATTACTTCCCTTTGCCCAAAATTTCACCGTTAGAACTCCACATTCTTGCTATATTTAACAAAAATATAAAAGAGCACAAATAAAATTTAAAAAAATAAAAAAATAACAAAAATTCAGCACATTTTAATAACATATTTTACTTTAGTTTTCACCTATGGGCCATGGCGGCCAATCCTGTGTAAAGAGATGTTAAGCACCAAAAATCAATCAATCAATCAATACATTTTTCCCAAAATATTCTTAAAAATTTTTATGCTTCATTACAAACTCAGCATAAAAAAAAAAAAAAAATACAAGATAAATATCTATCAATCGGGAAACCCAAAAAATACTGTTTAATAATCAAAATAACATTTTTTTCTTTTCTTTTCTTTTTTTTTTTTTAGATTATCCATTCTCAACCTACTGGAAGTGTTTGGACTAGATACTGACCATAATCAATACATCTAAAGTAGGTCAAAACCAGATCATTAGTCATAACCATGACAAAAAAATGTCAAGACAATAATGGACATGAACAGAGCTATTGGAATAACTCATGGGGCTAAAAAGGAAAAATATCAAATTTAAAATACAAGTTAACGTACAACTTCAAATCTGGTTGAAAATGGAGAATCTTCACAATTTTATTTTTTTTTTTTTTTTTTTTTTTTATGTTAAAAATTATAAACAATTCCTGAAACAAACACAAAAATTGTCTGAATTACATTCTTTACTGTTACATCACACAGCTACTTAATGCAGCTACAGTTAAAGTTATCTGAAAAAGAAATATACATTATAAACATAGCTGTCAAACCAATATAAAAACTAAAACAAAATTTAATGCAAAAGAATAATCAAAGTGATTTGTTGACATATATTTTTAAGGCCACACCAAATTAATTTCTAGTTCTTCACTCTTTCCTTTGAAAAAGGGTAGCAAGAAAGCTAATTTTTTTTATTTGTTTTTTTTTTCCTGAAATTTGATTTCTTGGCATGCGAAAGAATTTTTAACTAGCGAGCAATATTATTTTTGAAATATTAAAAAAATAAAATCTAAAAAAAGCACTTTATGCAAGTGAGCAATCAGAAATTTACAGAGTTTTGGTGCTTCATGTTTTTATTTATCTCATATCCTAGTTCTTATATTACCCTACTTTACTTCTCAATTTGTTCTCCAACACCCTGTTGAACTTTTCACAACATTACCAGTACAATAAAATGCTCCGCTGGGCGCAGCTTGATACGACCGCAGAGGTCGACCCCTGAACAGTTGGGGCAAGTATGGACACAACATTCAAGCTTGATACAGCTCTGAATTTGGATTGTGATTAAATATTTGACACAGCATAGGTTTCTGACACAGAATGAATGTGGTCTAAGAACTTAAATTTTTTTAATTTACCTATTATGGTCCAATATCCAAAATCTAAATACATGGTTAGATTCAGCATATCAAAGGATCCAAAGAATTCAATTTTTGATGAAATAAACAAAGTTTAATTTTGGACCCTTTTGACCTCAATGTGGACCAATTTGATAACGAGGCCCAAAAATCAAAATACATGGTTAAATTCAGCATATCAAAGAACCCCATATATTCAATTTTTGTTGAAATCAAACAAAGTTTAATATTGGACCCCAACTTGGACCAACTTGAAAACTGGGCCCATAATCAAAAATCTAAACACATGTTTAGATTCAGCATATCAAAGAACCCCATATATTCAATTTTTGTTAAAATCAAACTAAGTTTAATTTTGGACCCTTTGGACCTTAATGTACACCAATTTAAAAAACGGGACCCAAAATTAAAAATCTAAATACACGGTTAGATTTGGCATATCAAAGAACCCCAATAATTCAATTTTTGATGAAATAAAACAAAGTTTAATTTTGGACCCTTTTGACCTCAATATGAACCAATTTGATAGCGGGGCCCACAAATAAAAAATCTAAATACATGGTTAGATTCAGCACATCAAAGAACCCCATATATTCAATTTTTGTTGAAATCAAACAAAGTTTAATTTTGGACCCCAATTTGGACCAACTTGAAAACTGGGCCCAAAATCAAAACACTTAACACATTTTAGATTCAGCATATCAAAGAACCCCATATATTCAATTTTTGTTAAAATCAAACTAAGTTTAATTTTGGACCCTTTGGACCTTAAAGTAGACCAATTTGAAAACTGGACCCAAAATTAAAATCTATATACACGGTTAGATTTGGCATATCAAAGAACCCCAATAATTCAATTTTTGATGAAATAAAACAAAGTTTAATTTTGGACCCTTTTGACCTCAATATGAACCAATTTGATAGCGGGGCCCACAAATAAAAAATCTAAATACATGGTTAGATTCAGCACATCAAAGAACCCCATATATTCAATTTTTGTTGAAATCAAACAAAGTTTAATTTTGGACCCCAATTTGGACCAACTTGAAAACTGGGCCCGAAATCAAAAATCTAAATATATGTTTAGATTCAGCATATCAAAGAACCCCATATATTCAATTTTTGTTAAAATCAAACTTAGTTTAATTTTGGACCCTTTGGACCTTAATGTAGACCAATTTGAAAACTGGACCCAAAATTAAAACTCTAAATACACGGTCAGATTTGGCATAACAAATAAATAAATGTGGTCAAAGATTTTACAAATCTAATGCGCCATACTGTGCAATTAAAGATTACTTCTTGAAATTTTTCAATATTTGAAATTTGAAAAAAAAAAAAGAGAAAAAATTGACCCCCCACAATTTCTCAAAAAGATGCAATATTTACAGATATTTTTACTGGTCTTCCTTTATAAATATGCATTTCTTTAAACATAATTTAAAAGCAGTGTAAGGGAAGTAATCAAAACGTTGTATGTGGATTACCCCCTTACACTGTTTTAAATTATCTTAATTGTTCATTAACCATTACTTTATACATAATTTAAAAGCAGTGTAAGGGAGGTAATTCAAATGATGTATTTGATTTATCTCCCTTACACTGCTTTAAATAATGTTTTGTACTAAAGTATTTGTCCATATAAAAATGCTTGTTTTTTGCCCCTTTTTTTGCCCCTAATTCCTAAAATTTTAAGGCAATTACCCCCAAAATCAATCCCAGCATTCCCTTTATGATATGGAACCTTGTGGAACAATGTCACAGAGATCCATACACTAACACACAAGTTATGTCTGAAGTTCCAAAAATGCTTATTTTTGGCCCCTAATTCCTTAACTGTTGGTACCATAACCCCCAAAATCAATCCCAACCTTCCTTTTGTGGTATTGAACCTTATGGTAAAATTTCATAGAGATCCATTCACTTAAAGTTATTGTGCGAAAACCAATGTGTCTTGGGACGACGACGACGCCGACGTCATACCAATATACGACGGCAAAAAAATATAAAAATATAAAAATGTAAGATATTTGTGCATAATTTTGGGCCATTTATAACTTCTTCGGTGTGAGCCAAGGCTCTGTGTTGAAGGCAGTACTTTGATCTATAATTGTTTACTTTTCTACATTGTGACTTAGATGGAGAGTTGTCTCATTGTCACTCATACCACATCATCTTATTTATAATAAAAATGGATGAATAGTTCATAAATCTTTGTATTGGTTCTTACCATAAAAGTCAGCTCCAATGGCCATTCTCAATCCTTACAGACAAGCTGTGATGCTAACCTGAAATATAAAATGCTTCATCAATAAAATTGTTTAAAAGGATCATAGACTATTTATTATATAGAAATGGGTTATATATATATGTAATAGATGTTGAAAACATGTAGACAGCAATCCAGCAACCAAATAAATTTTTTCTGTAATCAATTTAGATTTTTAATTTACTCATATATAATGGTACTGATAAAAGAAAGAAATAGACTTCTGACCAAACTCTTATAAACTTTCAAGCCTACGTGACATGATTTTTATAAATATTTTTTATAATACATTTTTTTTTCAAAAACAGGAATAACATACTGGTACCTACCTACATATTAGCTGTATTAGACCACCAAGTCTTACTCCCACACCACGAAAACATTTGTCTCAGAAAGAACCTAAAATACAAATTAAAATTGACACATTATATAATTTTTCCAAATCCATTTCTCTGTTGACCTCAAATTTACTATCAACAAAAGTTTGTATAAATTAATCAGAGATGGAAAACAAAAAATAAGTCAAAGATTAATGACTTGAATTTCAACTGCACAAAAATCATCTGCATGTTTTACAGAGTTATCTCCCATTGAATGAACAAAAACTTGCTGTAAATTGTACTAGTCTCCCCTTGAAGTTTTATTCCATCTCAGGATTTTCTATTGTTATTCAAATAGAAAATCTTGTTCACTGTACGTGGTATCTTAATATATTAAACCCTTAAAATTAATTCTGCAATGGTGTTTTCTAATCAGAAGTTCTAGATAATGTATATAAATTGTTTGGGTTAAATAAACTTGCCTGATTATTTTCTTGTGAAAGCCTCAGACTTGGTAGAAGATTCATTTAACCATCTTCCATGGAGCTGTGTTCTCCTGGCTGCCAAGGTGGCTGTCCTCATTTTATTGCCAATCTATTCTTTGTTTGTTTGTCTTAGAAATACAGTTACATATAAAAAAAAATATCAGATGCACTTTCAACTAATAACTTTTTTGAAAAATTTCACCAAATCAGTTTTTGTGCCAAATAATTTCTCCCACCCAAGAAATCTTTAATCTAGATTCATATTCAGTACACATTTGATATTAAAAATAAATCATACAACGTGAATATCCAAGTAAATAAAAACCTAACACTGAGGAAATTTCAAGTATGTGGAGTTTAACAGGGGGTATAAAAAATTACCTCCCTTTGACCTAAATTTCACAGTTAGGACTCCACATTCTTGCTATTTTTAACAACAATACAAAAAATAGTATAATAGAAAAATAATTTAATAACAAAACTCCAACACATTTCAATAATATACTTAGTACATTTTGTACTTTAGTTTTCACCTAGGGGCCTTGTTGACAAGAGTGATCTTAGTTCAACTAGTATAACACTAGCCTGTCAATACTTAGGTTGTGAGTTTGAACCCGGTAAGCGGTAGGTTTGACTCTGGTCTTAATTGACTAGGATTTTCAGTTTTCCTTTTGAATATCGGTGATTCTCTCATATTACTTGAGCTTCCTTCAGCAATAAAAAAAATGGCCATCAAGATATAGCCAATAGTGCTCAAAGTGGTGTTAAAACACCAAAAATCAATCAATCAATCTATTTTCACAAAGATATTCTTCAACTATACTTCTTGCAAAATGTTATTACAAAACTTTTATGCTTCGTTACAAACTAAGCTTCAAAAAAACAAAAAGTTGGCAAAAAAATATATATCTAACGATCAGTAAACCAAAAAAATACATTACAATAAAATTTACATTTTTTTCTTTTTTCTTTTCCTTTTTTTTTTTTTTTTTTTTAGATTCTCCATTCTTAACGGACTAGAAGTGTCTTGACTAGACACATACCAATACAAACCAGTTCAGTATCCATAAGCACGACAAAAAGAAATGCCAAGACAATTCTGGACATGAGTAGAGCTATCAGAGTACAGCCATGGGGCTTAAATGGAAAAAAGATTAAAAAAAAAATGAATATAAGTTAACATTCAACTTCCAATCTTGTTGAAAATGGAGAATCTTTACATTTTTTTTTATTTTTTTTTTTTTTGTAAAAAATTATAAACAATTTCTCAAACATACACAAAAATTGTCTGAATAACATTCTTCACTGTTACAGTTATATCACACAGCCATTTAATGCAGCCACAGTTAAAGTTACCTGAAAAAGAAATAGACATTCTTAACAGATAGAAGATAGCTGTCAAAACTATATAAAAATTGAAACAAAATCTAGTGCAAAAGAATAATTAGTGATTTGATATCATATATTTGTAGCTACCAGTTTTTATTAGCAAATTAGAATGAAAAAAATTGTTGTTTGCTGTCAGTCATATGGCCCGAGAACACAGTTATTTCGTAGTGCATTTCTTTTAGACAATAAAGTCAAATTAAAATAAACTGTTATAACAGAGATATGTCTCGCCTTTTGTAATTTTGATAATGCAAATGTTGAAATTAAAATTGCAATACTTTAACATGTAAGTAATGCAAATATTCAAAGTCGATGAACCATGACTGAAGGTACATGGCTAAACAATCTCCATGGAATGAGATGTGCCAATGCTAATACAACTGCATACCAAATACCATTGACTTATTATAAGTCGTTCCCTTTAAACAAATCTAAAGACAAACATTAACTTGTAAACTATGTAAAAGCTTCAAAGTCAATGAACCATGATCAGGGGTGGGGCCATATAACCTCCATGGAAACGATACTTGCAAATGCCAATAAATTTGCATACCAAATATCAATGACTTAACATTAGCAGTTCATCTTAAACTGAACTTATCACAAACTAATACATGTAAACTAAGCAAAAGTTTCAAAGTAAAAAGACCATGACTGAGGGGCGGGGCCAAATATTCTCCATGGAAATGAGATGTGCTAATGCTTATACAACTGAACACCAATTAACATTGGCCTACCACTAATGGTTCCCCTTGAACTGACCTAATCACAAACTAATACATGTAAACTTAGCAAAATTTTCAAAGTCTATAGACCATGACTAAGGGGGCGGAGCCAAATAATCTCCATGGAAATGAGATATACCCATGCTTATACAACTGCATACCAAATATCAATGACTTAACATTAGCAGTTCATCTTAAACTGATCTAATCACAAACTGATACAAACTGATACATGTAAACTAAGCAAAAGTTTCAAAGTAAATAGACCATGACTTGACTGAGGGCCGAGGCCAAATATTCTTCATGGAAATGAGATGTGCTAATGCTTATACAACTGAACACCAATTAACATTGGCCTACCACTAATGGTTCCCCTTGAACTGACCAAATCACAAACTAATACATGTAAACTTAGCAAAAGTCTATAGACCATGACTAAGGGGGCGGAGCCAAATAATCTCCATGGAAATGAGATATACCCATGCTTATACAACTGCATACCAAATATCATTGACCTACCACTAGTGGTTCCCCATAAATTGACCTAATCACAAACTAATACGTGTTAACTATGAAAAGTTTCAAAGTCAATAGACCTTGACTGAGGGGACGGGGCCAAATAATCTCCATGGTAATGAGATGTGCCAATGCTAATACAACTGCATACAAAATATCATTGACCTACCACTAGTGGTTCACCATGAACTAGACCTAATCACAAACTAATACATTGTTGACGCCGTCGCCGCTGCTGCCGGAAACAGCATACCTATGTCTCGCCTTGATGGAGTCAAAAAGCGAGACATAGGTATGCTGTTTCCGGCAGCAGCGGCGACGGCGTCAACAATGTATTAGACCTAATCACAAACTAATACATTGTTGACGCCGTCGCCGCTGCTGCCGGAAACAGCATACCTATGTCTCGCTTTTTGACTCCGTCAAGGCGAGACAAAAATCGCACCTCTTCTATCTCAAAAAGATTTTTTTAACAGTGTAGTGTATTACTATTGGGACAAATAATTACTATTGGGACAAATAATATCAAAATTATAGAAACTTCTACCAGTTCTTACTCAAAATATTGACAATTCTATGTTAAAGGGGTCTAAAATTCAGTTTGACAGCTTCAGACATAATTACCTTTTTTAACTAGACCAAATCACTACTTAACACAAAGATTCAGCATTCCACATTTTAACATAAATTTCATCCCCTAACTAAAAATATTTCATTCATAAAATATAAAGAAATAAATTTGGAAAGTGTATGAAAAAAATTTGCAAGTTATACACTGTCCACACTAGTGACTATATTTGTAGACAACCAAAATCTAAGAATGATAACTGTCTCCTCGGACCATATTTGATTTTAATGTTTTATAATAAATCAGGCAAATGGTTTTTGCATTTGAATTGTTTCAGATTTTGTCATATTTGGGGCCTTTAATAGCTTACTATATAGGACAGGTTTTGCTCATTGTTGAAGGATGTACGGTGACCTTTAGTTGCTCACATCCACATCATTTGGTCTCTGGTTGATATTTGCCTTGTTGGCAATCATACCACATCTCCTTATTTTCATTTTGGGGGACAACTTTAACAAAAAACAGAAAATAAGATATCCAAAATTTATCTGGCTTAACCACCTTCCAGATTATATCTACAATTATAACTTGGAGAAAATTATTAGCTCTACATTTGTGCTAATTTAAAATCTAGAGGCATTTATATGCTCTTAGATGAATACTTGATAAAAATTTGTATCTGTTCTTACCATAAAGGTCAGCTCGAAATGGCCATTACCAGCTTCAATCCTTACAGACAAGCTGTGATGCTAATCTGAAATATAAAATGCTTAGTAATTCAAATTGTTTAAAAGGATCACTGTTGGTATACTATATGTATATTAGATAGAAATGGGTTATATCAATGTAATAGATGTTGAGATTAGACAGCAATCCAACAATCCAGCGAATGTTTACGCAATCAATTCAGATCCTTAAATTTACTCATATAATGATACTGATAAAAGAAAGAGTAAGACTTCTGACCAAACTCTTATAAACCTCCAGGCCTAGAGGACATATTTTTTCCAAATATTTTGTAAAATACTTTTGTTGTTTTTTCTTCAAAGCAGGAGTAACATACTGGTACCTACCTATGTATTAGCTGTATTAGACCACCAAGTTTTATTCCCACACCATGAAAACATTTCACATAAACAACCTAAAAAGAAATTACAAATTGACACATTACATATTTTTTCCAAATCCATTTCTCTGTCAACCTCAAATTAAATATCAACACCAGTTTGTAAAATTAATCTTAGAAAAATAAGTCAAAGATTTATTATGAGTTTGAATTTCAACTGCACAAAAATCATCTGCATATTTTACAGAGTTATCTCCCATTGAATGAACAAATCTTGTCTGTTTATTGTATTGACTTTGAGTCTCCCTTTGAAGTGTATTCCTATCTAAGGATTTTCTATTGCTATTCTCATAGAAAATCTTGTTCATGTACATGGTATCTTAAAATATTAAACTGAAAATTAATTCCAAAATGGTGTTATGAATGCTAATTCCTTAATGGTGTTATGAATGCTATAGATGAGAAGGATGCTGTTTGTTGTCTTTTTTATAAAGTGCCAGTCTTTGTAAGAATCAGGCAATTTTGAAAAAAATCAAAACATGGCCGAAAAAAACTCACCAGCCTAACCACACTATTTTGAAGGTACCCTCATCCTGAGTTAGAAATGGTAGGTCTTTTGTTTCTGCGTGTCTGGTAATTCGAGAAATATCTAGATAAATTTTGGTTTAGAATGATAGCAAATTACGGAGTTATCTCCTCTTATTAATTTCTAGTGCATTTCAACCAAAATTAAATCTTGAATTACCAGAACAGGGAAAGGAAACAAATGTTATATTCATGCATCATTATACATTCTGAACTTAAATTAATGTAAAACTGAGTCAGTTTTTGTTTGTCATGTTTTCACCACTGCCTGATTCTTAGGCAGATTGGCACTTAAAATATTCACTTTTTTATCAAAAGTTCAGAGAATGAATAGAAACTGTTTGGCTTAAATAAACTTGCCTTATTATTTTCTTGGTAAGGCCTCAGACTTGGTTGAAGATTTAATTGACCATCTTCCTTGGAGCTGCTGTCCAGACTGTTTTGCTCTTCATCACAGGTTTTTATGCTAATCAGTTCACTGAATCCATTTTATCCAATTAATGAAATGTCCTTTCCATAGTACAAATAATTGTCACCAGAATGTTCCAAAGCATATTTTCTTCCAATCATGGCAACTTGAGTAATTCTCAATGTAACATACAAATGATTTATTAAATTCTTTCATAAAATACTGTAAAAATACCAGATGTGCTATTAAACAGGTAACTTTTACATTGAAAATTTACCAATTGCTTTCATTTTTTTTAATTACAGAGCTCTAAATAATAGCTTATATATTGTTTAGCAGACATCTGATATGTAAATACTTATACAAATGTTATAAAAAAAAAAGGCAGTTTAGTAATTGCCGAACACTTAAGGGTCCTCCCGTAGGAGGAGTTAACCATGGGTATGACCTCCCCTTGCCCAGTTTGGACTCCAAACACAGTACCTTAAATGATAGGCTAAAAATGATACATTCAGTCTAAAACAAGTCTGTGATGGTATGAAATAAAAAAAATCATAATGAATGTTGTTGCCAGTTATTTTCTAACTGCATTTTTCATTCAAGACAAATCAAAAATGTACAGCAAGAATGAATTGTATTAAATACATCACCAACATCTTTTTCAAAATATTTTTGAAGTATAGTTTAACAGAAAACGGCTGGGTTTCAGATTGTATTTTTAACAATGGAGGATGGTCTATACTGAAATTTAAATATATGGGAATACATGTATAAGCTGTAAGAATGGGGGGAAATCTGTAAAAATCCATATTGAAAGGCGCTAAATCTCCGCTTGTTTTCAAACTATCTGTGATGTTCTAAAGATCTGGGTTAAAAACAAAAACAAAAATTTTACCATCTTTAGAAATTCTTGCTAGAAAAAAAGTTCCCGTCATGAAAATTGAAAAATTTTATCAAACAATTCCATAGTAGCATGTGAACAACTTCTATATTTGTGCAATCATTCTGGAAAATTTCAGAGATCTAGAGTGAAAACTGCAGGAGTTGATTACACAAAATTGGTACACTGTCTTTGTAAATTTTGATGAAAAATGATACAAGTTCCAAAATTAAAGTTGAAAGGGGGAAAATTCCTCAAGGAATTCCATAATAGCAGGTGTGCAATTTTTCTGTGAAGTTTCATGGATAGGAGTTGAAAACTGTAGTAGGAATTGAATACACAAAACTGTTACAATCTTTCACAGATTTTGCAGACAAAAGTTCCAAAGTTTGGATAAATGAGAATTTATCTTACAATTCCTGTCCATGGTACAAGAAACACTGAAATAAAAAAAATACAAATATCATGAATTATTTAGTATGAAACTTGATTAAAGACAGACAGGCCAATCAATGTTGATCAAATTCAAAATCAAAATTTAAGGCGACACTTTAATTGATTTGTTTTTTAAACTTTAATACCTGAAGAAAAATCTGTTTTAAAATTTCAATTCAAAAAGAAATGATTTTGTTCTTCTGTTGGATAGAAAGTAAAAACACTGATATCTTGCTATAAATAGAGATGGACTTATATGGGGTAGCTCTTGGAAACCACTGGTTCCTTGAAGGGATAACAGTCACAACTGAACCAGAGTTCTGCATTCAATATACAGACTACAGGAAACAGCTCTTTTTTGCTATTTAAGTGATTAAAAGGCGATATTTGAAATCCCCATGGTCTAGAACAGGGTCCAATATAAAACTGCTTGGTAACTGAACTGATGGTATGCAATTCTTAAAAAGTTAACGAGAGTCAGCCTCAGTCTTGAAATCATTTTGCAATGTTATTTAAAAAGGATTTCACGGAGCAAATTTATATATGTTGTAATTTGAAAAATATGATATGGTTAAGATTCATTTAATGTCCATTTCAATAAAAATTCTAAATTGTATCAATTAACTTCATATTTGAACAAACTTATGACAATTCATAGAGTGAATGCACATTCATTTGAAAACTCATGTAAAGAAGATGTAAAGAAGTAAATTAACAAATAATCATATCAAGAATTCTGTAAGATGAGCAAAATATGTAAGGTGTGACATCATTAAATTCATTGATCACAAAATGGCTTTGGGAGTTAAAAATAAGAAACATTTTTTGAGGATGATTTTTAAAAGAAAAGTAAAAACTTAAATTATATAACCTTGTCTACAATAAGCAATGAGCAATTGTTAAATGGGATGAAAAAGTAAAGAAAAAAAAGTTGTCAATTATGTTCGGAAATGTTACAATATATTTTTAATTAAATAAAAATACAATGATTTTAGAAAAAATTTGACCCCAAATGGTCAAAGAAGGCAAAGAAAATAGCTTGTTCCAAAAACTAATTTTTAGTATCTTGAATGTAATCTAATCAAGAGTTATCTCCCTTACCACATCGTGCATAAAGAAATAAAAGAAATTTACAAAAATATTACTTAACTAATATACAACATTTCTACCTAAGTCCTTCTGTTGGAGTTTGATTTGAAGTATGTTGGAAGCAAGAAAAGAATATTGAGGATTCATATCTTATTCCTTGGTTTCCCATTTTTTGTGGATTCAGGTGAAGTACAAACTTAAGCCTTTGACAAAATTAATCTCCATGGGCTTTTATGGAGAACTGATCAAAACCATATTTCAAGTTATTAAAGTAATCGTTCAATGTCAGAATGAGGCCACACTTAAAAATAATAAATTTAAAAATCAAACTTATTCTTTTTTATGGCCTAAAAGATTAGTGTTAATCCAAGGTTTAGATATTTGAAGCAAAAAGAGACAAATTTTAACTGTCCGAAATCAGGATCTGTAACTTGAAAAAACTCTGGGAGATGATGATAGTTTCAGATAGCCAGAAAGGAAACTTTTTTTTTGGTATGAAAATTATTTATATAATTTACGATTATTTTCTTTCCATTTAGTCAAAACATTAAGTGATTGTTTTTTTTAAATAAGAAAAACATCACATTAGACTGTTATTAAATGTTATTTTCTTAAATTCAGGACTACCTTGTTAGCAATCAGTACTTTGAAAAAGCCGATACCCAGATACTGTAAACCAACTTATTTTCGCGGATACTTTATTTCGCGTTAAGCCCTTTCTATCCCTTTTCGAGACGATTTAATTTCGTGATTTTCAAATTTAATGGAAGTAGTTGAATAAGGAACGATCTAAGTTTTACATATTCGCAATGATTTAGAATCGCGTTAATTTTCTACTCGCGAAAGTTGAGAAAATAAATCGCTCGCGAAAATAAATTTGTTTTCTAATTTTTCCATTTCCAATTCATTAAAATATGTCAAATACAATTTAGATTTGAATTTAAGATATTTTCTTTTTATTTTAACATAATTTTAAGAAAAAGTATGCCTATTGCACAGATTCAAAGTTCAAAGCAGCTTTATAACTTTTTTCAATCTTAATGACTGTAAAAATATCAAATATATTTCATTTCAGAATTACATATAAAGATCCCTTTGAATGAAAAACACCATATCCTGAATACATAAAAACCATAGAACCATCCAAAGAACAAATGAAACAAACAGAAGATATAAACAACCCTACTGCAAGCTTTTACACCCATAAGCAACTATGTTACATGTTAGTAAAGACGCAGCGCTCCAAGCACAATGTATTTCTGAAATGATTATTTGATATTTGCTGAGTCTACAAAAAAACTTTTAAGATAAATATTAATATTCTGCTACCAAACTTTGAATGCACTTGACCATAAGTTATGTTTTCTACAATCTGACAATTACAATGTATTGAAAACAGAAAAATTTTAGGAAAATTGTTTCATTATAAATATGAAATTTAATTTGAATGATAATTTTTTTTAATGTAGTACAACAAACAACACTGCATGTATTTTTGTTTGTTTTTAAAACCCATTTTTACCTTTCAAAAAAAGCACTGATAGAGCTAACAAGACAATGTTCAAAAAGTTTCTTAAAAAAAAATCAGTCCATCATTGGATGAAAGGAATCTGTTGTGGAGTAATTTACAGATAAACCTCATTCAAAGTCATTGAAACTATCACCATCAGTACCATTGG